AATATGTATATATTTTCTTTAAAAAATTAAATTCATAATATTTATTACAAAATTAAAAATATAAAAAAAGTTTAATGAAAGGGTAATTTTTTTTAATCTCTGAACTTCATATAAAATTTTAATTATAGATTTTTTTTGTAAATCTAAAATAATTTAAAGATAAATTTGTAATTTAACCTTCGTAGAATTTTTATTATTCAATGACAGAAGAAAAATATTTTTGAAAAAAAGAAAAATTTAAGGGCATTTTAGTCCAAAATACCGGTAATGTTACAATACCTAAGATAAGGGATGTAATGACATTCCCAGTAATATACCCCAAAAAATCTACTATTGGTAATAAAACATTACCGGGAATGAGATTCCCGGCCAACCAAACATGGAAATGTGGGATTCTCATCCCATGGGAATCCCACAATCCTTGAACCAAACACCCGCTAAGAGTATGGGCGGAACTTTATAGGGGACAAGAGTAGTCTTGAGCCCCGTTAATTTTGTTAAGTATTAATTAATATTAATTTTTTAAAAATAAATAAATAAAGTTTTACAAGATCCCCTCAATTAAAAAAATATATCTATAAAAAATGATAAGTACTTTAACTCTCATCTTAATAAATTTTTGGTTTCGCCTCTAGCTAAAGATATAAGTATTCATTTATCAAATAGTTAAATTTTTGAATAAATATTATCTTATATTTACTCAAATTTATAAAAATAAAAAACATTGGTTTTAATGAAGGCTTAATGCGATCGCCATTGCTGGCTGTCTAGATTTTATTGATTTTTTTTTCATATTTTTTAATAAAAATATCTTTAAATTAAAGTGTTTATTAGATGCATATTAATCTAAATATATTAAAAAATTATATAAATTTTATCTATAAAATATAAAAATATATATATATAAAAATATGTCTAAAAAAATATGAATCGAGCCAAGTAGTGATGGGAGTGCATATGCTTAAAATATTGATTTTAAATATTTAAAAACCAATATCTAAATAAAGTGAGATTTGAGAATCTTCATAAAATTAGAGTTGTTTATTAGAGTTGTTATTTTGAGTTGTTAAAGTTCCGAACTTGATTAGACTCATGTTAGTATGATGGTTAAAGAAAGTTTTGGATATTCAAATTTCTCTGTCAGTTTGTTATTTCATGCTGAAGTTTGAATTCTAGTATTTTGATATAATAAATAAAAATAAAATATTTTTGGAATTAATTGAATTTGTTAAAATTTCTTAAAAATATTCCAAAATTTAAATTTAATTGAAAAATATGTTTTAAATATTTTCCAACTTAGTCAGACATTTTCAAATATTTATTATTTGTACCCTTTAAAGTTGAGTTTCCTAAAAATTTTAGCTCAAAAGGTCGATCCTTTTAATGGTAGTAGGCAATGGACTTATTCAATTCCAAATAAGATTGATCCATTTCTCAAAAGGATCGGTCCCTTGTAAAAAAAAGATTGATCCGTTCCTTCAAAAGATCGACTTCTTTGCTGGCAACGATTAAATATTTAAAAAATATTAATCCCTTATGTTGTAAAAGTTTTTTTTCTTTGTATATAACAATTATTTTGCATCACCGATGATTATAACTCATTCTAACGGTCATAAATGGTTAAAAACTCGTTTCACATTATATAAACAATCCAAGTGCACTTGAAAAATATTACAACACATGTTTAAGCTTAAAAGATTATGAGAAAAGTGTTTCTATTGTTAATTCTTTCATTTTCTCTTGTACAAAATGTATAAAACTTCATTAAACGTATTTTACATTTATTCTTGGTGGGCTTAATCTTTGTAAAAACTCACCTAAAGTGGTACCCTTATTTACATAAATCAAACCTAATAAAAGGGAGTGATTCTAGTTTAGATTTAGAAAAACTAGAGTGGTTCTATCTTAGCTATTGTAAAAGATATAGTTGTAAAGGTTAACTCGTGTCCTTAAAAAATTCAATTCAAGTTTGTGATAAATCCTTAGTGTTGGAAAACTAAGATAGTGTATGTAAACTTTGGTTGAGAAAATCTAACTACTCTGAACCGGTTGTGTCAAAAGTTTTAATTTTTGTTTAAGTTTTCACCGAATTTCCTAAAAGCCAATTATTCCCTTTTTTACGATTTTAGATTGATCCATAGAGCTAACACTTCCTTTAACAGTCTTACTAATATATATTTGATCAAGTTCACGACAACATGTCTTTGATAGTTCAAAATAAGTTACTTTGGCTATGAGATTCTCTAATCCCATTGTTTATATATTTATTTTTTCAAGTGTTTTAATATGACCTTTTAAACATACATTTATTAAATAAATAAATACAAGGCTTATATATGCATGTTGCCGTCATTGCTTGATCTGATTTAAGTTCATGTCAGCACGTGTCTTCAATACATATATGTATATTTTTATATTTTAGGAATTAATAAAATGGGTATTATTTTAGGAATTAATTTTTTGTAGGATGACATACGCCTTTATTAAAAATGGTAGTTGATATTTATATTTTCAGTATTAATTGAATTTGAATATATTTTTGTTCACAAATCACTAAAGTATTATTGTTATAATTAAATTCAATTTAAGTATTATCATTTATTAAATATCTAAATTTGTAAAAAAAAATATTTGAGTTTAAAGTTTAAAGTTATATGTTGAATATTCAATTTTTTATAAATTAATTATGGATGGTTAATGATTGAATCTTTATAAACTAACACATTCTTTATTTTATAATTAATAAGTAAAAGCATATATCCAAATTTACAAATCATAATCTATATATATACATAAATAATACATATTTAAATATAAGTTTTGGTTCAGCGGTTAATTTGGTTAAAATCGAATAATGAACACCCATGGTTGTCTTCATATAAACTTCTGCAATAGTTTATCCGAATTAATTAATCAATAGATCAAATATCGATGATTAATTAAAAAACAATTACATAAGTATCTAAAATTCAAAATTAAGTTGTTTTTGTATAAATATTAATTTCTAAAAAAATAATGGAATGTTACTTTAAACCTCCAAAATTTAAAATAATAATGAATTAATTATAGAATTTTTATAATATCACCTTAATTAATTTTTTAATAGTCTAGAGTGATTATAAAATATTAATTGTTCAAACTTTTCTTAACCTATTAATAACGTACACATCATACAGATGCATCTACTCGAACCTGTAAGCTCTAAGAACCCTATTAATAATGTAATTAGATTCTATCCCTAAAAAAATATCAGTGTAAAAAGATTTTCGATTATGAATTCGAATTTATATGATTCTTCGACATTATTTCAATGAAGTATAGTGAAAATCGATCATTTTTTCACACGAGCATTTTTTTTAAACACCATGTAAATCCAATTATACATATAGTATTTTGTAGATAATATTAATCAAACTTAAATCATTTAGAAAAAAATATAGCGTCCTTTGTATAAATTAATATATGTTTAAGTTTTTTCTTAATCATTAACAATATACGCAATTTTTTGAGCCTAAAACCTCAAGAGAATATTATTTTCTTTAATCAACGAAATCACTCAATACTTTTATAGTAATTAATTTAAACGCTTCAACTTCAACCTCGTAAATATATTTGCTTTAATGCATTATAGTTTGAGCTATTAGCTTTAAGGAATGCTATCCACCCAACAATTCCTTTACATCTTTATTGGTTACTCGTTTTCTTTTAATTTTTTTAAGATAAAGATAAAACATCTATTAATTGAAAAAAAAAACCCTTATCCAAGTCATTGTTTAGTTATATATACTTTATTTTATTTTATTTAAAATTTAAAATCTCAAACAAAATTCGAATTATATATGCAACTAACCCGTGCATTGTCGGGTATACAAAAGTGCTAGTTTATAAATTAACAACTTTTTACGTATAATATTACAAAGAGTTATTATTCTATTCCCGATTAATGAAGTTTTTTTAGTTAATCATTAATGATTGATCTTAATGTCAGTTTCATTAAAATTTAAATATATATTTGAGTATTTAAGAATTGAGATTCTAAATTAAGATAAAAAAATATTATCTTCATATTAGATCTTTATCATACTCGATTTGAACTAAATGATCGAAAGTTAATTATAAATAATAATCATTCATCTCGAAAAAGATATCGGTAATATGTGACTACTACTTAGATTTAAAAATGTTAAGATTTTATTTTATTGACACTATTGATAGTATGAATTAAGCGCTTCAGTGTTAAGAGATTTGATGTTATCCTTTGATGTTTTGGGTCTGAATACCATGTATGCAAGGATACGGAGGGATTTTTTACCCCAAAATGAACATTAATAGCTAAAATACTCTAAAGAAAAAGAATATGGTAATTCAATCAATCAATATGACATACTAACAATTATGATTGAAAATATTGACGAAGTTGACATTTGCACCTTAATTTTTAAATAAAAAGTGAGAGAGTTAATTTTTATATTTTAAATGCAAAAGCTAAATTTCGAATTTTTAAATAAAAGACGTTTGACTTTTCCTTTGAGAAAAAGCATGTTTATATATATATATATATATATAATTATGTAAAAAAAAGAAAGAATTTGTAGGGGTTATGGAAATTACTATTTTGTAAGAAAGGAAATTACCATGAACAAAAATCTACTTATGGACCAGAAAGAAGAATTTCCCATGTTTTATAAGTTGGATTGACCTTTTAACATCATTAAATAAGAAAACGCCACGTGTAGAGACCAGGTGAAGCTGATTTCACTTGATCATTGAAACCATCTCGTTTTCGAAAAAAAGTCCGAGAAATTTAAATTCACACGGAGAGAAAAAGGAAACAGATAAACAGAGGAATTAAATAATAATAAATATCTTCCATTTTTTTTATAAAAAAAAATCTTCACTGTTTTTGACGAAAACTTCAATCCATTTGCTTCAAAACTGGGAAACAAAACAAATAAGGAAGCAAAAGAGTGAGGGTAAGAAGAAAAAACATAGTAACAAAGAAACAGAGTGAAGAGAGAGTGAAAGGAAAAAAGGAAGGGAAAAGGGTGGGGGAGATGGGAATTTTGAGGGAAGATGTTGTAGTGGTAAGTCCAGCGGAAAAAGCTGGAGATCCCACTGTTATATCCGTGAATTGCCCTGATAAGACTGGTTTAGGCTGTGATTTGTGTAGGATTACTTTACTATTTGGTTTAAGCATTACTAGAGGAGGTAAGCTTCATATACTCACCAAAGTTTCAAACATTTCTGGTTTTTTTAGTTGTATGTAACAATATAAATGTTGGGTCATTGTTATTTTCTTAGATTTTGTGTTAATAACTGTTTGAAAATTGATTAGTTCTTATCTTGTTTTAATCTTCTCTTTAGTTTATGTGTAGTAAGCTAAACACTTGATTGTTTTGATCATAGTTCCTTATGATATACCCTATTTATTTACTTTTTAGTCTGTTATTGTCTCAATATTGTTTGGGTTGATAACTTGGAAGTTTAAGATAATTACTGAATTTTTGTTTGTTTCTTCTTTTGGTGGATAAGATTTCTCAACAGATGGGAAATGGTGCTACATAGTGCTTTGGGTGGATGGAAAAACAAACACAAGGTGGGATTTGCTGGAAAAAAGGCTATTGGAAGTTTGTCCATCGTATTTTTCGACATCCGGAATCGACTATTACAGGACTGTAAATCAACAGCCAAAGCAATTGGATGTGTTTCTTTTGAAGTTTTGGTGCTCTTGTGATAGGAAGGGACTATTACATGGTAATCTTTATTTTCAAATTTGTTCTTTGATGGAAAATGAGATGTTTAATTTAGCTAGTGGTTAACCATCTCGTATTAGTTTTCGAGTTATTTCGGGCATTTGATTTTGTTTTGCCTCATTGCTTGATGTCTAAAGTGATATTTTCTCCTCTTTTAATTAGGAGTGTAAATGAACCGATCTTGAACGAACAAAGTTATGTTCGTGTTTGTTTGTTAATTTTTGAAGGCGTTTAAGTTTGGTTCATGTTAGTTTAAATTTTTAATATTGTATTCGTGTTTGTTTATTTATTTTTGATGGTATTCGTGTTCGTTTATTTTTTGTTCGCGAAAATGTTCATTTAATGTTTTTGTTCGTTTATTTTTTGTTCGCGAACAATATCATTTAATGTTTGCAAACATGTTTGTTTATATGTTCACGAACATATTCATTTAGCGTTCACGAAAATGTTCATTTAGTATTCGTTTAATGTTCGTTTATAGGTTCAATTTTAGTTTTCCCTTTCGTTTGCAAGCTAAAGAAAGATGATAAAATTAAGCCACTAGTGCTTAAACTTCTTAAATTTCACAGTTTAAATTACAACTTTTACTATGTGTTTAATTTAGTCCCTACCTTCACCATTATTTAAAATGTAAAAAAAATAAAAGGTAAAGGAGAACCGGGTAAATGAGTTTGTTCATGAACATAAATGAACGAATCAATAAACGAGCTCATGAAAGAGCTTGTACATGAACATATACAAATCGAACACACCTTTGTTCGTGTTCGTTTGTTTATTAAATTAACATAATTTTTTTTTGTTCATACTTATTTATTTAGCTTAACAAACGAATGCTATACGAACAGTTCATCGAACGCTATGTTAATTTACACCCCTACTTTTAATGCATGATTTCATTTATGCTGCAATTTATTAAAAGTTGTTTGATTAAATTGACTTGGATAAGTTTTGTTGTTGTTTATTAACTGGAAATATATCATGAGAATGAAATACCTTTGTGAAGGGGTTCTTTTCCCCCTATTTTTTTTGTTTTCTCTTGTCTTCGATTAAGACTCTAATGTTCACGTTATCTTCTTATTCTAGATTTTAGACAAGCCAAACTGCATGGGAAAATTAATAGGAATTGCATGATTGTTGATGAATATTGATATATATGAAAAGTAAACTTTTTATTTCAACCTTGCAGCTGGATTTTAAGGGATAGAAAGGTAAAAGAGGTTTCATATTTTTAATTACTTGGAAAATTATTGAATTTAGAAATTGTCTTGTGGATGGAAATGGAAAATGGGAGTCTGTCTTAAAAGTACAAGTATTTCTAAAAGGAAATCAGGACGTGTGAGCATTCTTTTGTAGGGAAACCAGCATCACTATGACTCATCTGTAAACCAAGCAGCCCTCCCAAAAGATAAGGTCATGAAATTCTAGACTACCAATCAATCCGTTCCTCTTAATGAATTACCCTTCTCAGTCAAATGATTTGTTTTTTTTAGGCAAGGAACATTAAGTGTGAAGCACATCAACATATCCTTTTTCATTTGTTTTTCTTTTTCTTAAGTTGACATAAATTCTCCTTTTCTGTTTTGATAGATATAGCTCAAGTCCTTTTCGATCTGGAGCTTACAATAAAGAGAGTGAAGGTATCCACAACTCCTGATGGAAAAGTGATGGACCTCTTTTTCATCACTGATACCAGGTTTGCCGGTGTTGAAAACATTTTTAGTTCGAAATTTGTAGTTATCTTAATGGTTTCTCCATTACCAGCACTACCTGACCATGGGATGAAGTGATAAATGCTATGCACTTTAGGTGTGAAATAGGAGAAACTATTATGGTTAACGTCGTGAGTTGGAAATTAGAATTAAATATAAAAACTAACTGATCTCTTGAAGTGAATGTTCTACTTCTATAATCTCCAAACTGAAGTGAACCGGCGTTTGTTTAGTGATATTACTATGTTCCTAAGTTTTATGTGACTTTTTTTTATTAAATTTTATGGAAGTTTTCATGTTTCCTTGCATATGGAATGTAAATTGATGTATTTTCAAAGTGAAAGAAGGGAGAGATATGCATAAAATTTTAGTATCACCGAGAGACTCTCGTGAAACTTGTACCAATATGTTAATTGTCAGGGGCAACACATGTATTTGTTGTTTCTGATATATATATATATATATATATATAATGTATGTTGTATGTATGCATGCATGCATTTATGCGTGTATGTATAAATTTGTATGTTTTTGTGCGGGCATGCATGTGTGATGCTTTTGTAACTTGGTTCTTCACTTTTTCTGATTCTAGGGATCTTCTTCATACAAGAGAACGGCAGAGTCAAACAATTTTTCACCTGAAAATTGCATTGGGTGAAATATTGGTAAGTTGTGAGATTGAATCAGCTGGTCTGGAAATAACCACATTTTCGCAAGGAACTTTGTTTCTTCCTTCCTCGGTCACTGAAGACATGTTCAATTTAGAGCTTCCAGCAGGGCATCCCAGTGGATTACTTACATCAAACCCGATATCCGTTACCGTCGACAACACCCTTAGCCCCTCCCACACACTTATTCAAATCCTCTGCCAGGACCATAAAGGCCTAATATATGATACCATGAGAACCCTAAAGGACTATAATATCCAGGTACATATCTTAAACTACTAACTATTTTTGTTCAAAATAGTCCTTTTTTTTTGTTTGCATTTCTGGTTCCATTTGTGCATTACATTGAATCTATATTATTTAGGCTTGAGTGTGAGTGTCGGTCCTGTCGGATATGTTATGTGTCCGACACAGCTATCTACAATTCTTTTAAAAAGTTATTTAGGCTTGAATGTGAGGTTCTTCATAGGGTAATATCTTCATAACCCTGTCGAAATAAGAGACAGGCATGATATTTCAAGTAAAATGAAGAGTTAGAGCAACATAACTTCGGATTTGCTTGCTATGGGTAAATCTCAAGAAGGAAACCTTCAATTTGATTGTTTTATGCTTTAAAATTTGCTTGAAATTATCTTCTGAAAGTCTTGAATATCCACAAAGAGTTGTTCCATAACTGCAAAAGGTTGCACAACTATGTTGCTTGTCTTCTCTTCTTGATAGCCCGAGTTCTTGTATATGCAACATATAAAAATTAACCTTTCATATCAGGTTTCGTACGGACGATTCTTTGCAAACCGAAAAGGTGGCTGTGAGTTGGACTTGTTCATAGTGCAAGCCGATGGCAAGAAAATCATAGACCGGAATAAGCAAAATGCACTATGCTCTCGTCTTAGGATGGAGCTTTGGTGTCCACTTAGAGTGGCTGTGGTAAGCCGCGGCCCTGATACTGAGCTACTGGTAGCAAACCCCGTTGAATTGTCCGCCAGAGGCCGGCCTCTTGTTTTTCACGACATAACCCTTGCTCTCAAGAATCTCAACACCCAGATCTTTTCGGTACGAGCCTCTATATCCATCGTTATCGCTCGTCATAGCACTTGTAAACGCTTTCTGCCCCCCAATATCTAACTGCAATTCGTTTTTTATGTCAACTCCTCTCAGGTTGAGATAGGGAGACACATGATCTGCGATCGTGAATGGGAAGTATATAGGATCCTACTCGACGAAGGAGATAGTTGTCATGTTCCGAGGAATAAGATCGAAGAAGGTGTTAGAAAAATGTTAATGGGATGGGAATGATAGATTTAAGATAACTGAAAAATCATGCTCAGAAGCCTAGACTTTAATTCCACACTCACTGTACATCATCACTCTTTGGTTTTTTGGGGGTTCTCTTTTGAGGTTCTTGTTGAATGGTAGGTTCTAACAAGTTACCAACCTGTAAATCTGTAAAGTTGCCTTCAAACAAATGAAAAAGGATGTTCTCTTTTACAACAATGGGAAAGAAATTCGGTCATTTTCGGTATTCATACTTTTCAGAATTTCAAATTTTAGTTCCAACTTAAATGTAGTCGTTATGCTGTTAATTTTTTGTATTACCTATAAGTTATAGATTTAATTGCCCCATTGGTGGGCATCTCTCATGTGATCTTAATAAGCATTAGCATACAAACCAAACACACTCTAATGTCCAAATTTGGTGCCCATGACTACAGCTTTGAGATGCCAGAATCGAATCCATCAAACTCAAGGAGCATACATATATATATATACACGAGGAAGACAGCTTTTGTTATATTCTACATAAGACAGATAAATGCTATTAACTTGTCACTCATCTAAACATTTTGCTATGGATTTGACTCTGCCTGAATTTAATCAAATTTGTTATTGTTTGCGATGTGCCATTGTCTGAAACAGCCAGTTGAAATGACAACTACATTCTCCTTGGACATTGAACTCATAAGATTGTGAGCTGCTACAGGATAGTTGGTAGCGAGGAGAAACTTGTTTCATATTAATTAGCCAGCATTTGGAGGCTGTGCATAATAGGCTGCGAATTTGGTATAGGATAGGAATCGAGACCCAATTTTTTTTGGATTGAATTTTACCTCAATGATAAACTGAATGCTAATTTCATCTGCAATGATTTTGTCATGTCGGGAAATCTTTGCTAAATTCATTTATTAAGATCCATCATCCATGCTGGTTTATCTAATAAATAAATAGCTCAATCCAAATGTGATGAAAATGGTTACTGTTTTTTTAGTGATCAAATCAACTGGAACCTAATTTCTATACATTTCGAAATAAATAAAACTAAAACTAAATGCTTGATCAAAATGGCGTCAACATGTTTCGACCATAGACTATATGCCTCCCATTGACCACTAGTTGCTTCCCATGAAACTCTATACCGAAAGGCTACCCTTTCCAACTAAGTATTGCAACAAAGATCATTTCGCCCTTTTGCTGCTCCTTGTGCTGTCCACAAGTTTGAACCACTGGCTCGAAGGGTCACATGTGTTGTCTTTATTTATGCATTTGCAACTATTTGTGATGATAGTCTTGTCTGACGCTACATTGAGGCAAATAGATTTTCCATCTCTGAGATTAGTCAAAAGATGCATCTTGGAATCCGATATCATTTCCCATTTCGAATTTGAGCCGGTGCATAAGACGCCCAGCTTTGCCGATGTCCCGGATTTATTGGCTTGTAAACATAAATGTGTTCCTTTTACTAGTAAAGTCTTATGGGGGGAGTCATTCCAAGAGTAGGAGTCAGTGCATGGACCTAACCGCAACCGGTGGTCGAATTATTTCCTTGTGATACAAAGCCCTGTTAAGGGATGGAAGATCACTTTGTGCGGTTTGACTTCCGACAGACCTGGACCTGCATATGTCATTGTGGAATAACAAAATATTAATATTGATTTTTTTTTCATTTTCGGTTCACATCAATCTCAATTTAAAAAAGAAAATTTAATATACGTTGGCTTACCCCGGAAAGGAGCTTGGAGAGCTGAAATTCTTTTTATGAAGCTCGAATTCCTATGAGCACACCAATTATAATCCAAGGCTCCGTAATACTCGTTTAACCCGACGACACCTTCTCTCACGTAATAGCTCACGGCCAGTGTCCACAAGGCCCAAAACAGGTCAAGCTCAGCTGCCACGCCCAAAAAGCAGTTCAAGTACCTATTGCCATTGACATTGGCTCCTGTTTGGTCGATCCCGAACTCGCCAACGAACAACGGGTATCCTTGATCAACCAAATACCCATATGTGTTCATCATGTATGTCGCAACTCTGCCACAAACTTCGTTTGGGTTTCCGGTCACCCCATCGGAGAATCCATACCAATGCGCCTCGAATACTAGTTTCCCACTAAACGTGAGTTTTACGGGTTGAGTCTTGAAGAATGACAAGTCTCTGTCGAAATCAAATCCAGAAAGTATAACGAGAACATCCGGGATTGCCGAGTGCACTGCTTCGGCTCCTTTCTGCATGTACTTGTACCAGTCGTTTACGTTCTGTTTCGGGCCTCTTAGCTCATTCCTCAAGCTCATGCCGACCACGTTGGTGACACCGTTGAATAAAGTGGCCATCCGAGTCATCCCGGTTATCCATTGATCCGGGTTGAAGTACTTATCGCCGAAGAAACCATTGCCATCAAGATTACTGCAACACCAACCGGGTTTGCTGATGTGATAGTCAAGTATGACCATCAAATTGTTTTTCCCTAAGCTTGACACCACCGTCTGAAATATAAATATCAATCAATAAATCAATGCCGTAAAGTTTGAGACATGTTGTTTATTCAAAGCTAATCGGAGAAAACAAGGACATGGAAAATCTGTCATATCTGGTAAGCTTTGATAAGTGGGACATCGATGATGGAAGGGTTGTTGGCTTGGATTCCGGCGACGGATTCAACGAAGCCGAGTCGTTAAAACGATCTAACGGTGAGGGATGCCAACGAGTCATTGGTGATGAGATAGACTGGCCAAGTGTACCTAACGCAGTTGAACCCCATTGACACAATCTGTTTGGCGATCTTATCCATAGGCTGCTTGCTGAGCCCTTCGGCAAGCATCAGTTCTGAGTGAGACGACCAGTTCATGCACGCCAGCTTCACGCGTCGTCCTCCCTCACCCGCAATCCAACGTGAATTCGTCGACAGAGGCAGGGGCATGACAATGGGAAAGAAGAGGAAGAGGAGGAGAATAGAGGAGGAAACGAAAATTGCCATGTCTTTTGTTTTGACTTGAAGGAGGAGAATAGAACGTTGAAGGACAGCTTACTTAGTGCCTTATTTATACACTGGTTTGCGCATTGTCCATAAACACACAAATCCTATTCTAATTATGTCTTTTAACTTTTATTATTAAATTTAAATGATTTATTTATATAGTAGGATTGCTTCTCTTTCTATAATTATTACTTGTAATTATAAAATATTAAATTTATAAATCCCATATATAATTTAATACATTAATTTTGTTTTGATATAATTCTATTCGTGAAATTGTAGTTATGATTCCAATGCATACATGAAATTTTAATTCTAATTCAATTAAATATATTTTTTAAAATTTTTATATTAGATAAATATAATTATTTCTGCACGTAATATATGTAAACATCAAATGTTATTACACCGACAATAGTGTTACATTTTTATATGTTTAAGATTATGAGTCCTTTTCAATGCGTTGTCTATAAAAAATCATCTAATTCTAATATTGAATAGAATTTAACAGCTGTGGGATTTGAACCCACGCCCTTTCGAACCAGAGCCTAAATCTGGCGCCTTAGACCACTCGGCCAAACTGTTGGCAGATGGCAAGCGTATCTAAAGAACATTCATATTGTCTATTTTGTTTCTGAGCCTTAATAAAGGGAAAACCAAGATTAATGGACCTCCTAAAAACCAACAAGATGTTAGTGGGAATTAAAGCATAAACATTAAAACAAATCTAATTTAGTCAATGGGAGCAACAACTCCTTGTAGTATATTTTTACATGTTCATATTGAAAGAACAAACAAGGAGTTTTGCCCCAATCCTTTTGAACACATGGTTTCATTCCAGCACCTAGGGATGGCAATGGGTCGGGTCGGGTCGGGTTTTTTGGGCCACCCGACTCGACCCGAGAAGAAAGGGTTTTTCACCCGTGACCCGACTCGACCTGACGAAATTAAGGTTTCAACCGACCCGACCCGACCCGAATATATGACTTAGAAACCCGACCCGACCCGAAATAATAATAAAAAAAATTTTATTCAATGAAAACAGTGACTTAATTGAAAAAAATTATATATGGAGGGACATTATTGTAATTATCCCTAAATATATAGGATAAAATTATATATATTTTTCGGGTCGGGTCGGGTCGGATTTTTTTCACCCTAAACCCGACCCGACCCGAACAGTACATTTAAAAAAAAACCCGACCCGAACCCGAAATTTTTAAAAAAAAAATCCGACCCGATCGGGTCGGGTCGGATCGAAACCCGTCGGATTCGGGTTGAGTTGCCATCCCTACCGGCACCCAATTTCAATAGTTTTGCTTTGTCATTAGCCGAATTCACTTGGTTAAATAAGGGACCAAAAGCTTGCCTTCAATGTGCGATTAAAATTTGCTTCACCTTTCACCCATTGTCAGACTGGCCCAACACATAAACATCTGAAAATCTAATTTCCACCGCGATTAAACCATTCAATAGATTAAAAAAAAGGCAAGAACCACGGACAAAACGGAATTGCAGCAACCAAGATAACGCATTTGTGGCCTGCTGGGATTCAAGCCCGGGTCTGTACGGCCAGAATTCTAACCGCTGAACCACAGTCACAGGTTATGCTCTTCCATGTGGATACAATTTATTTAATAGCATATAGTCTTCACTCATGCAGAATGACTGATTGGTATGTCATTGTATAGTGTTATTATACGTTATAAGCCTCAAAATTGCAATCTTTTTTAACACATCGTTTCATTCCAACACCCCGATTTTAATAGTTTTGCTTTACAAACCACACTGCCATTAGCGGTAAAAATATATATAGGAATTCAAACACACCCACCGTGGGCCTTGAACCCACAATCACAAGGTTTAAAGCCTTACGCCCTATTGACTGAGCTAGTCGGGCTTCACTCTAATTATAATTTAACAATATAAAATATAAATTATTTTGCTTTAATTAATTGAGTTATTGGTCTTCAAAAGTTATAATCTATTTAAACCCAAATAGGATACTAAACTTGGTCTTATTAGAGTATTTTAGTCTTTCAAGAACTCGAAATATTATAATAGACTTGTCAGGAATTTATCCTACATTAACACAACATCCACAAAGATATATATAACAATCAACACAAGATCATTGTATGCATTTAACAAGAAATTAGGCCTTTACACCCAACAAGATAACCAAGGGGGTATTTTTTTCGTTTTCATATTCCTCATCCAAAAATCATGGCGGGCATAAATTTAACAAGAAAAACATCGCATTTACAAAATCATGAAACAAATCAAAGTTCAAATAGAAAATTAAATTAAAGACCTAAACTATAACCTAAATAGCTAAAAGGAACTAAATTAAATAAAAATAAAAATTAAATGTGAAATCTTAAATAAAATTAAAATGAAAAAGACTAAATTTCATTAAATGAAGAAGCGATAGTCATTTTACAGCTATCCTTTATCCTTCAATAACATTTTGGCTTATTTTTTGAGGAAAAGAGAAGAAAAAAAATCTCTGAAATATTTTCATCTTCGCTGCTAGTTGCTGCCTCTGATAGCCGGAGTCAACCACCGTTGAAATTTGGATTTTTTTATCACAAAATAAAATTAGTGCTTGTTAATTCTATTTATTCATTTTTTCGTAATTATTTACAGTTTAACTAATCTCTCGTTTCGTTGCAGGTTAAAAGGACAAAGTTGAATCTTCCAAAAAAAAAATCTGAAATCAATCAAGTAATTTCTTTAATTTTTTTTGAACTTATTTGTCTTTTCTGATTCGCTTGACTGAATTTAATTTTTGAATTTCTATTTTTTTTAAATTTAGTTATTAATCCAATTTAATTTGCTATGGGCTTTATTTGTGTAACAAGTACTTTGTCTTATATAACTTTAATTGACCCATTAGTCAGCTATTTAAAGAACAAATTTGGCTATTTTGTTTCTGGACATATTTTAAGTCAAATTAACAACTAGTAAACTAATTCCACACAACTCTTCTACGTAAAGTATTGACGTGTGCTCCTTGTGCTACGACGGTCGAGGACCTTGACTTTGTTTTCGATTTTGTCCTATGATGATGAAGGTTCGGGCGTTAATTAGAGATGGATTGAGGGAGGTAGCCGGAAGTAATCTATCATTTTGAAATATTTTAGATATTTTTTTTTATATTTTTTATTAATAATTTATTTTCGTCTTTATAATTATTTAAATTCACTCCTATAAAACATTTTAAAATTTCACTCCCTTAATATAAAATTACATGTTCGTCCTTGATAGTTCCATCGAACACCATAGTTGAATTCTTCCTCTTGCTCTAACTGGTAGTATCATGTTTGATATATTGAAATTTCTACTAAAGTATAGTCATTAAATATTCTAACAAAACATGTGTCGTATTAGACATTTCACTAAAATAAATGTATCAAAATTTAATGTTTTGTTCAAGTATAGGTACCAAATTGATAATATACCCATTTATACCAATTATTCAACTTTTTAAACTTTTTAAATTGAAGGGTAAATTATGTATTTAGTACTTAAACTATCAATTTTGATAATTTTAATACCTAAAATTTCAAATTTTTAAAAAATATGTAGTTTTTGTTTCATTATAGTATCTCGCTATTAAAAACTTAACGAACGACCTTGTCGATTGCCAGATCTACAGTCGTTGGCTGTCGCATCCGTCGACTGATGAATCTCAAACGTTCCAGCCTGCACCTTTTCGTCCATGTGAATGTGATTTCGGCCTCCGTTTCATCGAAAAATGCCTAAATCTTTCCAAATTGACGATGAACTCTTTGACTTCTTCATTCTCTAATCTTCGTCGTCAACCGTCCAATAGGCCTAAATATGGACTATGTTGGTCAACTCTTCATTCTCTCATGGTCCACCGTTCAGATCGATCGTGCATCTATCAGAGCTATGCCTCATCAGCCCGTCCATTAAGTTTTTAACGACAGGTACTAATATGAAACAAAAAACTAAATATTAGGTATGGTTATGAAATAATTGAAAGTTTAAGTATTAAAATTGACTAAGACTAATAGTGTAGGTACTAATCACGTAATTTCCCCTAAACTGAATTGACACGAAATAACTAACTACTCTTTTTACTGTCAGTAACAGTACTCCATATTTTAACTTTTTAGAATGTAATCCAAAAAAATCCAGATATCCCCACACGTGGCATCCAAAGAAACCCCCTTCGTGTTACACGGTCGGCAATGTCTTGGGCCCCACTTTCCCTCCAATCCCAGAGGAGATCCCTTCGAATCTTCTTCTTCCTCCTCTTCCCTTTGCTTCTCATATCTTCTTTCCTTTCTACAAAAACCAAGCACAGAAGCCAGAAGGAAAGTAAATATCACACTCGAGGGAAATGAGAGCTCTGAATTCCAGATTAATTTTAATTGATATCACCAACGACGCCGTCTCATGGAGCCACCGTCAGCGGCATTCCCACTTCATCACCATGTCCCAGCGCGGCGGAGCTCATCAGAGAATGTCAACCTCGCCTTTGAAGCAATCTCAGCCCTCGATTCTCCGGACCCCGCAGATCCGGAAACCGTCGGATCGAGCCACGTCTTCGAATGGGTCTTCGTCGGCTTTGACTTCCCGATTGGAGGCGTGCACGGAGCTCGATTTGTTCCTCGAAATGTTGCCGTTGAGGGTGAGGAGAGAGCTTAGCCGGCATGGTGAGATAGGGGAGTTGATTGAGGTGGTTATGGATTTGGGGAGGAAGCCTCTCGCTAGGTTTCCTTTCGGGGATTGGATTATTTCGGATCAGCCTGTTAAGCATGAAGATTTAGTGCACGCCACATCTAAGGTGTTTTTCAGTGAATTAGTGAAGTTTAATTTGACTTTTTGCTCATTTTTCATGTATAGTTTGAGGTAGATGATGGGTTCGAATCACTGTTAAAGGATGAGCATTTAACCAATTAGATTAAGCTTCAGGTTTGAATTTTTGTTTTATGTTTAACAGAGATGGTATATTTTATATTAAAATTTGACTTTAATACAAAAATACTATCTGTTGAATTATTGATGATTAAATATTATTTGTCACTTTAGTTGTTGGGAATGAGAATTTTGTGGCTGGCATAGTTCTTTTTGAGATGAAGTTGCTTCTTTTTTACATAGATTAAGTGAATTGAAATTACTTGTTTTGTACTTTTGTTCTAGGTTGGTGACTTTTCTGATGACAACCGTTCCGGAATCGATAGATCTTTACATCGCATTAGCGCTATTAGAAACCGTAAATTGCAAATTATCGGCCTCACTTGTCGGGTGGGTCGAGCTGTGTCTGGAAGTGCTGAGATTATTCGCGACTTGGTCGAGGGAGGAGGTTCCATCCTGGTCATAGGTCCTCCTGGAGTTGGCAAAACAACCTTAATCAGGTACTTATTCCTACAAAGTCTATGTTGTTGCTTGATCACCTTGTTGTTCAAACAGTTGTTGTACCTTTTTGTTTAGATTAGATAACCCCTCTTTTGGTACTTTTTTGTTTGATTTTTTTTATTTATGTGGATTCGATTTTATATACGCAAGGTTTCATAATCTAAATGCTGTCTGATCTTACAAAAGTATAACCGACTCACTATTTGAGTTTACTGATAGTTCTTGAAAGAACTATATTGAATTCTGTCCAGTGGTTATCTCGATTTCTACATTTGACATAAAAACTAGTTTAGTTGTTCATGGTACAGAAGTTCTGTATCCGACAAAAACTTCGTTCTGTTGCAGAGAAATAGCTAGAATGTTGGCAGATGAACACATGAAGCGTGTTGTCATTGTGGATACATCGAATGAGATTGGAGGTGATGGAGATGTCCCCCATGAAGGAATAGGGCGTGCAAGGAGAATGCAAGTTCCAAATGTAAATTTGCAGCATAATGTGAGTATTGATGTGTGTTTTTCTCATTGCAAAACACCAATCATTTATTTCAAGTCTAATTGTCCTGGTCTCAATTACCTTGCAGGTTATGATTGAGGCTGTTGAGAATCATATGCCTGAAACCATCATAATTGATGAGATTGGTACAGAGCTTGAAGCATTAGCTGCCAGCACTATCGCTCAACGAGGTGTTCAGCTGGTTGGAACAGCCCATGGAATGACTATTGACAACATAATAAAGAACCCTTCTCTGCAGATCCTTGTTGGTGGCATCGAGGTGCGAAGCAACTTCTTTTTTTCTTCACTTCATATTGCTCATATGGCTTTCAATGTGCTCAAAGTGGGATTTGCCATATGGATATACCACTTGCTTTCATGTTGTTAGGAAATTTATGGAACAAGTAAAACGTTTCGAGTGCGATTGATTTAGATGGGTAAATTTTGCCGATCTATGCCACCTTTACTGAAGTTTTTCATATTGATTAAAGTCATTCTTTCATTGGAAAGCAGAGTGTAACTCTGGGTGATGAAGAAGCAAGGAAAAGGAAAGTGCAAAAGACTATTCTCGAACGAAAGGGCCCACCGACTTTTACATGTGCTGTTGAGATGATATCTAAGACCGAGTGTCGTGTCCATCATAGACTTGATGCAACTGTGGATGCTATACTGGCTGGTAGATTATATCCGTTTCATATTTATTTAGAAGCCTTCTTTTGGCGTCTACCTACTTGTATATCAAGTAAAGTTTTCATGTAAGATGTTTAAGCAGAATCATTTCTGGTTGGCAGGGAGATCTCCTTTATTTGAAACCCGTCAGATGGAGCCTGAAGCTAGTGTTCCTATCAAGTCTATTGTAATGGCTAAAATCGACCATCGTGAACTATCTCACATGCTTCTTAATGAAGGAAAAAGTGCTGAAGTTCATTATGATGAGGAAGATGAACAATCTGTCTTGCATGTTAATGAAGAAAAACGTGCTGAAGTTGATTTTGGTGATGAAGATGAAGATGACCTTCCTATTCCTAGAAAGAAACACAGGTTTACCAGGTCCGCTAGCAAACGGAGCTCACCGATATTCGTTTATACTTACAAGGTGAAGTACACGATTTATGTTTTCCATTACTTTTGTTTCAAGACTGCTTGATGAAATGGACAAAAAGGAAAAGGAAAATAGACACTTGGACAGATATTTTACTGAAATTTATAGGTTGATTTTTAGAACATTTTTTTTGGAAAAAAGAACATGATTCATAATTGTAATCGGATGGCATCTAATCGAATATCTTTTGTGTGCTTGATAAGCTTCTTGTGTCTTCATGCTGTGCTTATATGTTTTTTGTTATTGGATGTATCCTTTAGATCCTGGAAACGGATCTCTTACAAGTAGCAACAGTAATGGGACTTGAAGATGAAATAGATGTCACTGATGACATTGGGATGGCCGATGCAGTTTTAGTATCGGCCTCCGAAATAAAGCAGAACCCGTGGATTCGTGGAATAGCAAAGTTCCACAAGTTGCCAATGTTTGTCATTAAGGTATCTTCATAACTATTTTCACAAATAATTGTGCTGAAAACACCAACTTCATTGTTGTTTTTATCTTCCTGGTACAGTCTCTTGCTGATATGAAACTTCATAATAAAATGGCGCAACATACATAAAACGTGTTTAATTGATATCAAGGTTTCTTCTCTTGGATTGCAGTCAAATACCATGGCACAAATGGTCAAGGCAGTGCGCATGATTCTCGAGAGGGAATCATACACCTCGAAGTCGAGGCTTCTTAACATAAATTCTTCCGATATTGAGGTCGAAGATGATGCACCAAAACGAAAACCCACCTTGGAAGAGATCGATGCCTTAGAGGTGCTAAATTTTCCCCTTGTTCTCTTTAATCGTAACAGTTCCAAATTTCTTCAATTATTCTTGAAATCTTGGTGGGGAAAGTGCATATGTTATTGAAACCCTGTTCTTATCAGGTCGATCAAGTCGTATCCGCTCAAATGTCGTTGAATTAACTGCAATATACACTTAATGAAGTTGTTGTTAATTGACATCTTCCTTTGCATTCTTGCAGGAGGTTCGCCTAGCGATTGAGTATATCGTTATTCCCGGTGGTGAACCCGTTGAACTTCTTCCAAGACGTTCCGAAATAATTGCCCGTCAACTTGAGCTTGTCAAAAGCTATCAGTTGGATGCAGAAAACTCAGGTACTGAGCTTAACCCAAGGTTGCAAATTCTTCCTCATAGATTGAACAAAAAACTTCCATCAAAATCCCTCAAAACTACATCGAATTTACAAAATGAGACCGGATTGAAGCCGCTAACTGATACCAATGGAGGAACAAGTGTTACAAGGCTTCCCTTCCTGCCTGAATAAACCATTATTTCAATCATATGAATCAATGATTGATACAAGGCTCCAATTCTTGTACAGTTTATAAATAGGTTATGTATCTCATCATGTAATTATTTGACATTGTAAAATGTAAAAGCGTACTACAACTAATCATAATGCAATTTACTATCGTTTTCTTTCTCAATCAAACCGAAAACATGGGACTGATTACTGAACTTTCACTTACAACACAACGAACCAATGTTCGATTCCGACATTAACATCGATTATGAAGTTACGGTATCGATAAATTCATCGCCCATTGCTAAAGCCTCCAATGTCTCTGCTGACAAGCATGATTCAATGTCAATACTTCCTTTTTCTGCTCCAAAGAACAGTGTAATATTTCCAACAAGCTTGGTCTCGGGCCCAGTTCTTACTGCAATCGGATTTCCCCATCCAAAATCATTACCATAAATATTAAATCGAGGGGAACTACTTGTGATCAGAATGTTGCTCGTCAAATTGGTCCTAGTAATCAATTGAACCATTGGAAATTTCCAACCATGAATACATGAAATGCTAGAATGATGTCCCATCTGCCACATCGTGATTGATGGTGCAACCGATGATAATACCGTCTGCAAGATCGGTTACTTGTACCCAAGTACAGGTTTCCTAGTACCCTCATAGTTCTGATAGGAGGAACATAAACAGGCTTACCAATGTCAGAAACTGTTACTCCATCAGCTGCAGCATGTACGAACAAAGTCCGACATTGTTGCAGTCGATAAAAAAGGAAACAGTGTCATCATCGTGTTCGGTGGTTGCTAGTCAACCTACAAAGGGTGGGACTCCTTGTTGACTGGCGCTTCAACAAATAGAGATGGACTTGTTTATTTGCAGAAACAACTTATTTCCAAGATTTTTCCGGAGGAAAGTTTAAAGATTTGTAATGTTTACGAAGGAAATGACATTATAAGACGTTTGTTATCTCAGAAAAAGGTTGTTGACTTATTGTTGTTATTTATGATGCAGAATACATACAACACTTACTGTGTGTTGAGAGTTACGTACTGTTGTGCTCGTGCAGCTCCATGCATGTTCATGCATGAGGAGGTTCTAGAAATGATCTAGAAGCTAGGTTGTTAGAAGTTTGTTAGCTTAGCAGTTCTTAACAGCTTAACAGATAGTTGGTTAGGTGATTTTCTTGAGTAGTTAAAGCATTGTATATGTTCTATATAAAAACAGTAGTGTAAACTGCGCTAAGCAAGTTTTCTTTGATTGAATGAAGTAATCATACATTCCATACATGAATTCTTGAAGTTCTTCTGCATTATTCAACACTGTGTTAGAATTCTTGAAGTTCTTCTGCATTATTCAACACTGTGTTAGGTTTAGGAAGCAGAGTCATGATAAGAACAAGAGACGAGCATCTGCTGCAAACGTATGGAGTGGAGATTGTGTATAAGCCGATGAAATTGAATGGTAAGCAGCAATGTAGAGAATCCTTTGATGAATCTACCTGTCCCTCAGGTAACTATTCTTTTCTTAATATAATGCATGCCTTGTTTTAACTGAACCGCATGGAAAGCCGGAAAGAGAAACAGTTCAAAGGAGGAAGCATCAGAGATATAAACCGCAGAGGAAGCAATGGATTCCAGATGAGTCATTGGTTCTCCAACATATTTGACGGTTTTCTCGAAGTATAAATCTTGATTGAAAACTTTTCCTGCCTGCAGAAATCAATTAATTGAAAGTTTGGCAACATTTAGAATAATGTACTAAAAAAGTACAGCAAGTAATAATTTTTCTTTGTAATGCTTAAACTATAACACGAATTCAAAATTATAACTCAAATCTGACAAGTTGAAGAAAACATTGGTTGTTTCCTCACTTCCTTTTATTCAATAGCTTGAGCACACATATAACTATTCCTTCTAGCGTTGACATATTTTGCAACTTCTAAGTAACCTTTTAATTTAATCTGTTACCCCGGCTACACAGTTATATAAAACAATTTGTCAATTAAATATCACTTGTCTATTAACTCGGTTAGAACGTCGTGCTAATAACGTGAAGGTTGCAGGTTTGAAACCTGCACGGGCCAATTTTTTCTTTTTCACACTTTTGTTTTCAAACGGCGTCAATATACAATCTGATTAAAAGGCAATGGTTCAACTAACGAAGCAGGTGCTAGTGAAGATCATCTGGTGGGAACAAATGGCCGTGTCGGAACCGACAGCAATGTAGTGGAATACGCTGATGGGCTTCCTTTAGCACTCGGAGTTGTTGGTTGTTTTCTTTCTGGCATATCAAATGGAGAAGTGCTATAGAAAGACTTAAAAAGGAACTATTATCCCCGAGTCCCACGCTTAACGTTGGCTTTCTCTTCTCTTCTCCGGACTGCCTTTCCTTGTCGTGACTGGAGCTGGAGCTGGTTTAGCTTTGGTAAATTGATAGGAAAACGAATCTCCCTGAAACGAAATAGTGTCGGAACTTTTAATTTCCTATTTAATTTCAATCTGTTACCTAAAACATATTATTATTTAAAACAAATTTTATTTTTGTTAAATGGAAACCGAAGGGCTATTAGCTCAGTTGGTTAGAGCGTCGTGCTAATAACGCGGAGTTCGCAGGTTCGAAAGTATTAAAAAAAGAAAGTGTCGAGAAAAGTTCCTCTCTCCTATTGTTTCAGTGCTGTTTCTGCAGTGTAGATAGAGCAGGAAAAGGACATGATATTAAAATGATCAAAATATTAAAAAGTATCCTTAATTTATTATTATTTTAACGTTTCAGGGATATTTTTGTAATAGTTTAGGAAGTTTAATAACTATTTTAAAATATTTGATAGTTATAATCCAAGAGGATTATTGTGTTGTAGTTTAGTGACCTCTAATGTACTTTACCCAAAAGGTTTCACGTGTCACCCGAAATCATCTAGGGTTTCTCTCATAAAAATACCGCAAAAGAGAAAACCACAGTACCACGAAGCCAAAAGAGGAGAGAGGTAAACAAAAGAATAATATTTCTTTTCTCGGGAAAGTTAGGATTTTTTTTCTCAGGAAACGGATAAAGATTTTATCTTTTTAATCCTTTTTTTTGGCTTTATTTTCTCTCATTTGCAGGTTTTCAAAGAAGAAAGAAGAATTGTTTGTAAAGGATGACAGGGAAAGAAGAGAACCGAATATTTGTCGGAGGATTATCATGGGATGTCACCGAGCGACAGCTTGAGCATGCGTTTAGTCAGTTTGGAAAAATTATTGAATCTCAGGTACCCTTTTTTGATTTCAAATAATAAACAAATTGTTTTCCCCCTTCCGCTCCTTATCATATTATGTTTGGTTGCCAGGAAAATTAATCAGAGTAATTGGTGGGGAATTTATAAGTTGGGTACTTTGTGGGAAAATGGGTTGTTGATTTTGTCTTCAATTTGGTTGAATATTGTATGCTGTACCTAATGGATTGTGTTTTCTTTTTTATCTATGGATATGTTTAGTAACACTGGGTTTCAAACATGAATTTGAACAAACTTTACTCCTTTGCCTAAAATTTGTTATTTGACATTAACAAAATTTTTAATAATAAAAGGAAAAAAGATTGGATTAAATTATTGAGTAGTGAAGCTTACAGCAAGTCATTATTGACATTTATCCAACAGTATAATGTATGTTCTATGCATTTTTAAATTTGTGTATTCTTTTTCTGAAAGGTGGTTATCATATCAAATTCTCTATGGTACTGTAAACATGCACAGCTATAAGTCTCCTGCCTATGTTTCACATATTTGTTGATATAGAAACTGCTTTTATATATCAATAGTAGAACCTGTTTTGCAAGCTTATAAGGTATTGGGGTGATAAATAATTTCTTCAGTTTTCATGTTTCTCTCTTATCAAATTATTTTTTCTTGTTTCTTGTCTTTTTGAATTGCTCTAAGAACATTTTGACATACCGTGGATGGGTTTTTTAGGAAGGGTTTTTGGTCAGTGACTGCATCAAGTTGTTGAAGTGCAAAGTATCCCTATTCGTAATGTTCAAGTACAAAGTATTTGTTTAAATTAAGTGTATGGTTCATGGAAGGGAGGTGAAGTTAAAACTGATTCTTTAAATTATGTTATGGGGAAACTGTTTTGTTTCGATTAAAGGATCCTTGCATGAAGGAACAAGCCTTAAGTTTTTTGCCTTGAAGAAACATGCATTGTTTCTTAAGTGGCCATTTTTGGTAAGCATCACATTGAAGGCTTTATGGAGTTGGTTCGGAAAATTTTATGGCAAGACCACTGTTTTTCTTTCTCATGGACAACAAATGAGTCATCGATTTGTGTCGATTTACCTTCCAAGAGGACTGGAGTTTTGTCAAGATGTCTTTTCCTTTTCCAGTGTATAAGCATGTCTAGACCTTCCTTACCTGTGAAGTCCTCGTGGAGCATTAAGTTGCTGTACAATTCTCACGGGCCTGACCTTTTCTGTTGCGGAGCGTGCCTCCTTTGTTTCTAATCATTAGCATACAATTTTCTGGGCTACTATGTTCCAAATGATGGTAAAGAGCAGCTGTGTGTGCACGGACGATAATGTAGTTTTCCTGAGGGCGGTGTTAATTGCTTTTGGATGGGATTGGTATCATCATATCGGTTGATTTGCCTTCCAAGAGGACCGGAGTTCTGTCAAGACGTCTTTTCCTTTTCTAGTGTATATGAAAGCATGTCTAGACCTTCCTTACTTGTGAAGTCCTTGTGGAGCCTTAAGTTGCTGTACAATTCTCATGTGCTTGACCTTTTTTTGTTGCGGAGTGTGCCACCTTTGTCTCTACTCGTTTGCGTACAATTTTCTGGGCCACTATGTTCCAGATGATGACAAAGAGCAGCTGTGTAGTCATGCATGATTATGTAGTTTTCCTGAGGGCAGTGTTAATCGCTTTTGGATGGGATTGGTATCATCATATCGGCTGATGTGGTTAGTGTGACTTAAGATCCCTATTTAGCCTTATGTTTAGGTTTCTTTGTTGATTTCCTTTGAATTTCTCAATTGGTTCAGAATAGAAATGGACTCTGTTCCAGATTAGTTGTGGACATGTTTTCCATGGGAGTTTTGATCCAGTTTTGTTAATCTTTCAAGCTTGTACCACTGTTCACCCAATCGGTTTAGCAACCCCCAATTTGTTTCTCTTACCTCTGATGAAAGCCTCAAGAACTAGAAATTTTT